AATCTCTCTCTCTCTCTCTTTCCCCGCGGCCTCAGTGCCACCATTATCCTTTCCCTCTACAGATAAATGAAAGTGAAAAAAAAGTTCTGAACGAAACTTGAACCCCTGGTGCTAACATTTTACTCCTCTTTCTGAGCTACTACAGATGTTTTGTTCATCCCTGTTCTTTCGAGTGAGATTAGGTGCCTGGGTGATCTGTATGTGTACACCCTTCTGTCAGTGTATACAGTAATTTGTGAACGGGTTTGGAGGGGGTTGCCTTTGGGGGTGGAGGTGGAGCAGGAGGTGAGTCGTGGTAGATGCAGGCGATTAGTCTCTCTGCGGTTTGCCGCAGTTAGGATATGAGGGATTGTGTCGGCGGAGCGTGTGCGAGAGAGACGATGAGAGAGAGAGAAAGCGTGTGCGTCTGTGTGTGTGTGTGAGAGACGGTGTGTTTGAGGGAGACCGACTGTGCGTATGTGTGTGTGTGAGAGAGAGAGAGACAGAGAGTATGAGAGAGACAGACAGAGTGCGTGTGCGTGTGAGAGAGTGTGTTTGAGGGAGACAGACTGTGTGTGTGTGTGTGTGTGTGTGTGTGAGAGAGAGAGAGAGAGAGAGTTTGAGAGACACGGACAGATTGCGTGTGTACGTGTGAGAGAGTGTGTTTGAGGGAGACTGTGTGTGTGTCTGTGTGCGTGTGTATGTGTGAAAAAGACACAGAATTTGAGAGACAGACTGTCTCTCTGTATGCGTGAAAGAGAGTTTGAGACAGGCAGACATTGCGTGTGTGCATGTGAGAGATTGTTTGTGAGAGAGACAGACAGACTGTGTGTGAGAGAGAGAGTGAGAGTGAGAGAGAATGTGCTCCAGAGAGACAGACAGGCTGTCTCTGTGTACGCGGGAGAGAGAGAGAGAGTTTGAGAGAGACAGAGAGACAGCCTGTATGTGTACGTGTGAGACAGTCTGTTTGAGAGAGACAGGCACACTGTGTGTCTGTGTGAGAGTTTGAGACAGATCGTGTGTGTGTGTGAGAGAGAGAGAGAAAGAAAGAAAGAGAGAGGATGTACATGTGTATGTCATTGTGCATGGGACAGTGTGAGAGACAAAAGGAATGTGCGAGTGTGTGAGAGAGACAGAGAGAAAGTGTATGTGTATGTCAGTGTGCGTGGGATAGTATGAGAGACACAAAGTCTGTGTGTGGTGTGAGTGTGTGTGAGTGAGAGAGAGACAATTTGAGAGAGGCAGGCAGACAGACTGTGTGTGAGTGTATGTGTGCATGTGCGTGTGTCAGAGAGAGAGAATGGAAGTGTGTGTGTAGGGGGAGGGATAGAGTGTTTGAGAGGCGGATACACAAAGATTGTGTGATGAGTGTGTATGTGTGTGAGTGAATGGGACAAATGATAGAGTGTGTGTTTTGTGTGTGAGGGAGTGGAATAGTGTTTTGAGTGTAAGAGACAGAACGACTGTGATTGAGTGAGTGTGCATGTGTTTTGTGTGGGGGTGTGGGGGGGCAATAGTGTTTGAGGCACAGACAGAGAGACAGAAAGCCTATGTGGAATGCGTGTGTGTGTATTGTGCACATGTGTAAGAAAATGTGGATGCATGTGTGAGGGAGATAATGTTTGAGAGAGAGAGACAGAAAGACTGCACGTGTGAGTGTATGTATTGTGTGTGTGTGCTTGTGAATGCGTGTGTGTGTGTTTGTGTGTCTGTGCGTGTGTGAGAGAGAGAGAAAGAGAAAGAGAGGAACAGAGTGGTCATTTCCCACACCAGACGTTAAGCAGTCTTGAAAGATGTTATTATAAATTGTAATAAAGACATTACTAAGGTTTGGGATAGTTTGGGAAGCTAGATTTAGGAAGAGGAGGCCCCTTTGATCCTGTTCCGCCATTCAATAGGGTGGCGTCGGGTCTGAATACTGTACAATTTCCATTACTCCCAATAACCTTTCACTGCATCCCTTCCCTGCTTCTCAAGAGCATAACCCTCCTTTCTAAAAAAAAAACATGTCCATGTGCTCTCCTGTTCGAGCAGAGGTCAAAACGCTCACGGACCTTTGAGAGACAGAAATAAAATCACACAATTTCTGTGTTCAAGGAGATACCTGAGTTTAAAATTAAATAGATTTTTCGCATTAGGTCGGCAGTGTTATTTGTGGGATTGTCGTATTTTCCTACTGTTTGTGTTTGGATATGTGTGTGTGTGTGTGAGTGTGTGTCTGTGCTTGTGTTTGTCTGCCTGCCTGTCTTTCTGTGTCCATGTCTGTGTGTTTATGTCTGTGCATGTATATCTGTGTGTGTGTGTGTGTCTATGTGTTTCTGTATGTAAATCTGAGCATGCATCTGTCTGTGTGTGTCTATGCCTGTGTGTGTATGCCTGAGTGTGTGGATTTGCGTGTGTCTGCTTCTGTGCATTATGTGTGTGTGTGTGTGTGTGTGTGTGTGTGTGTGTGTGTGTGTGTGTGTGTGTAGATTTTGCAAAACGAAGGTTTGGCCCAGATCCTTGAAAGACAAGTTGAACCTGTAGCTGTGGTGGCTTGTCACGTCAAGGATTCTACGGTATGATTCCCAGCATTTCACATTTCTGTATTTTCCTTGGGGGTGTGGGTGGGGGTGGGTGGTTTGCTTATAAAAAGGAAGGGCTGGCCATGGTCGGCAACGTGAACGTTCAACCCTGGGCACCAGGAAAGTGACGCCTTTTAACCAGCGCCTCATCAATGGAGGAGAGCGAGAGACAGAGAGAGAGACAGAGAGAGAGACAGAGAGAGAGAGAGAGCGAGAGTTGGGTGGAAGATGAGTCTGTGTAAGACAGTATGTGTGAGTGAGAGTGAGTGAGAGTGTATGTGTGTGTGGGAGGGGGTTGGTGAGGGTGAGAGAGAGAGAGAGGGAATATGTGAGAGAAAGTGTGCGTGTGTGTGCGGGGAGGAGTGCGGAGGTGGGGGGGTGTGAGGGTGAGGGAGAGCGGAAGCGTATGAGAGTGCGTGTGAGAGTGTGAGAGAATGTGCATGTGTGAGTGAGTGTGTGAGAGAGTGCGTGTGACAGTATGTGTGAGAGAGTGTGCAAAAGTGTGTGTGTGTGAAAGAGAAAATGTGAAAGTGCATGCGCGCGAGTGTGCGCGTGGTTGTGCATGTGGCCGAGAAAGACAGTCGTGTGTGGAGCTGAGAGAAAGAGAGGGTGTGTGTGTGTGTGTGTGTGTGTGTGTGTGTGTGTGTATGTGTGTGTCTGTGTGTGTCTGATTGCGTTTCTGAGTGCGTGAATGTGTGTGTGTGTGTGTGAGAAAGAGAGAGAGAGACGGTGTGTGGGGGATTGTGTGTGTGTGTCTCTCTCTCTGTCCACCACTTACGGCCAGGCACTTCCCCGCTACCTCGACCGCACTCCTCATCTCCCCTCACCTCTTCCCCCTCCACCTCATTCAGCAGCTCCCCCACCTCCCCCACTCCCTCAGTCTCATCCTCTATCCCCCTTTCCCTCCATCTGGCAGTGCTAAAGGGCCAGAATCCGGCGTCCCTAGCATATTAATCCGCCGCGTACCCAGTAGGGGACCGTGTGCGGTAGATGTGGTCGCTGTTGGGGGGTGGGGGGCGTTATGGGCTTCCCTGGGGCTGTCACGGCGTTAACGTCAGCGAACCCTCGTTATACTGTAAAACCCTCCCTATACTCCACCCTTCCCCCTCCCACCCCCATCCCATCACCCCCTACCCCATCTCCCTCCCTCCTATGTTCTCTCTCTAACTTGCCACGCACATAAAGCGTGATCTCATGGCCGTCATTTCAACTGTAGCCAGCATCAAAGGAACGATCTTCCGCTCAGGAAAGAGGGATCTGTTTCCTGTTTCCTTCCTCTCTCCATCTCTCTCTCTCTATCTCTTGCTGTCTCTATCGCGCTCTCTCGCACATTCTCTCACTCGCCATCTCTCTCAATAATTGGAGTTTCACCGGGATAGCGAGAGAGCGTTTGTGAGAGACGGAGACAGGGAGGGAGAGAGCGAGAGAGAGGAATTCCGCTCTCTGAGAGATATGCAGCCTCTGCTGCCGAATATTTAAAGACAAAGAGAGGCGATTCCTCTTCTCTATCTCCCTCTCTCCTTCCCTGCTCCTCATCAGGGAGCAAGTTTCAGTGCCATAGATTTACCCCATTCACCTGGGTCTCTCTCTCTCTCTGTGTCTGCCTCCTCTCTATCTCTTTATCTCCTTCTCTCTCTCTCTCTCTTCCTCTCCTCGCTCTATCTCTCTATCACCCTCTCCTCTCGCTCTGTCTCTCTTTCTCCTCTCTCTCTCTTTGCCTCCTCCTTCTCTCCCTACCCCTCTCTATCTGTCTATCTCCTTCTGTCTCTATCCATCTCTTCTCTCTTTGCATCCTCCTTCTCTCACCACCCCCGTCTACCTGTATCTCTATCGCCTTCTCCCTCCTTATCTCCACTCTCCGTATTTTTCAGTGTCTATAGCCCCTTCTCTTCTGTCTCTCAGTCTCTCTATCTCCTTCTCTCCATCTCTTCCTCTGTTTGTCTCCTCTTCCTCTCTTTCAAGCTCTCTCTCCTTCTCTCTCAGCTTCTCTCCTCTGTCTCCTCTTCCTCTCTCCTTGTCTCTCTTGGTCCTTCTCTCATCTCTTTCTCCCTCTATCTTCCTCTCTTGACTTCTCATCCTTTCCTCTATCTCTCTCCCAGCCTCCTCCTCTCTATCTCCTGCTTTTCCTCGATCTCTCTATCTCCTCTCTCCCACTACTCTCTCTCCTTCTCTGTCTCACTACCCCCACCCCGACTCCTCTCTGTCCCTTCTCTTTGTCGCCTCCTCTCTCTCTACCACCTCCTTCCCTATTTCCTCCTCCTTCTCCAGCTCCCTCTCTCCTTCCCTTCTTGTGATCAATCCTCTCTCTATCTACCTCCTCCTTCTCTATCTACTCTTCCTTCTCTATCTCCCTCTCTCACCGTCTCTCCTTCCCTTCTTCTCTATCGCCTCCTCTCTCTCTCTCCTTCTCCTCTCTCCTCTACTCCTCTCTCTCTCTCTCTGTCTGGCACCACGGTCATGAGCTCCTATTTCGTTAATCCGTTGTTCACTAAGTACAAACCGGACGATGCACTGGACCGTACTAATTACTACGACGGCTGTTTCCCGCACGGAATCAGCGGGGAACCCGCTCTGATGTACGGCGCGGTGACACGTCCCGCTTTCCAGCCCGTCTCCGGTCACATCCAGGACTACTTCCACACCGGTGGCTCCTCGCTCCCCGCCTCCAGCTACCAGCAGGGGCCCTGCGGACCCTCTTGCCAAGGGGAGACGGCCAAGTTTTACGGCTACGACGCGCTGGGCAGGCAGAACGCTTACGCCGGCGGGCAGACGGACGCGGCGTTGCTGCAGTATCCCGAGTGTAAGGCGGGGGTCCCCGCTCCAGCGGCGGCGGGCAGCGGGAGTGAAGGACCGGGAGCCGTGAATCCCAACTCACCCGCCAGCCTCATGTTCCCGTGGATGAGACCGCACGGTTAGCTTTTACTTTCTCCCCTCCCCCTCTATCTCCTCCCACATCTCTCTCTCTCTCTTTCTCCCTCCATCTCTCTCTCTGTCTTTCTCCCTCCACCTCTCCCTCTCTCTCTCTTTCCATTTCCGTTCTTCACCCTCATCTCTCTCTCCCTCCCTACCCCCATCTCTCTCTCTCTTTCTCCTTCCATCTCTCTCTCTTTCTCCCTCCATCTCTCCCCCTCTCTCCTTCCATTTCCGTTCTTCACCCTCATCACTCTCTCTCCCTCCATCTCTCTCTCTCGCTTTCTCCCTCCATCTCTCTCTCTCTCTTTCCATTTCTGTTCCTCACCCTCATCATTTTCTCTCCCTCCATCTCTCTCTCTTTCTCCCTCCATCTCTCTCTCTTTCTCCCTCCATCTCTC